TGTGAAATTCTTGATTGTGATGAAGAAGAATAGCTGCTTGCCAGGTTTGAGATTCTTTTCCAGTGCTCTTGATATTCTTGTTAAGCGGAAGGATTCGAAGAATGCAATTTTGATTTGGGATGTTGTGGTTGGCAATGGTAATGGGTTGGTGCCTAATTTGTCAATATACAATGCCATGATTGGATTATTGTGTGATTGCAATGAGGTCGATGATGCATTTAGGCTCCTTGATGAGATGGTATTTCATGGTGCTTTTCCTGATTCTTTCACTTATAATGTGATCTTTAAGTGTTTGATTAAGAACAAGAAGGTTGGTGATGCCGGTAAGTTTTTTGTGGAGATGGTGAAGAATGAGTGGCTTCCCACACATGCTAATTTTGCTGCTGCCATCACCATGTTTTTCGAAGGGGATGACCCTGAAATGGGGGTTCAGATTTGGAACTTTATGGTTGAAAACAAGGTCGAGCCTCTTGATGCAGCGGCCAATGCCTTGCTCTTGGGGCTTTGTAAGTTAGATAGGTTGTCAGAGTTGAAGAGGAATGCTGACGACATGCTTGATAGAAGGATCAGCATACATGAATCGACAATGGCGCACTTGAAGAGTGCCTACTATAAGGATGGCAGAGGTGCAAGGGACAAATATGATGGCTTGGCAAGGAGGTGGAAGACCTCACTAGGTCGCTAGACATTTTGTGGCTTAGGTTCTTTTTTTGATATGTATAGGAGTTATGTTCTTTACTTGCATAGGCGTAATCACTTGTGGAAAATGCGTATATATTCTTTTTCTGTACCAAGCAGGTTTTGTGGTTAACTGTTATTATACAAATTGCCTCTTGTAGCTGTCTGACCTATTCGTCTTCTCTCTCTTCTCGTTCCGCCTTTTTTTCTTTGTTTTTATTTTCTGATATATTCAGTTTATGTTCTTTACTTGCATAGGCGTAATCACTTGTGGAAAATGCGTATATATTCTTTTTCTGTACCAAGCAGGTTTTGTGGTTAACTGTTATTATACAAATTGCCTCTTGTAGCTGTCTGACCTATTCGTCTTCTCTCTCTTCTCGTTCCGCCTTTTTTTCTTTGTTTTTATTTTCTGATATATTCAGTTTGATTTTGATTTCTTGTTGTTCAATGTGCCTGGTTGTGAAATTCTTTCCTTCCTTGAGTTCCTGGTATGAATGCTTTCTTGTTACGTGTTTCCAGAGCTTTTATTATTTAACGGTACAATCACCAAGCTGCATATAAATGCTGAGAGCATTAGTAGCTCTCTTACTTTACTGCATTTTGGTGCTTCGTTTAATATTTATTTTATTTATAATTTTTATGACAGTCGCTGGCTCTTTTCAATGTCTTTTTGAGAATTTCTATTCTAGACTTTGCTAGATGGCCTCACATCCTGGTAGTTGGTGTCCTTAAATCATAACTTGAGAGTGATTATGCTTGTTTTGACTCATTGGTGTACATTTCATGAGGCATCGTTGGATTGTTCTTTGGAATGTAAATGATGCCTCCTGGTGCAGTGCAGGTTTGTCATCTCTGTATCTGTATCCCTTTTCTCTCCCTTCATGGCTTTTGCATTGTTGAAGTCCCAAATTCTCTTCATTCACCTTTCTAAAACGTAAAATCGATGAAACAAAGGACTTATTAAAACCCAATGATCGTTTAGATCAATTCATTTCTTAAAATCTTGAAAGGAATTGTTTTTCGAGGCATGGAATATTTTTTGTTTTAGAAAGGCCAGGGTTCTATTTCTTTTTATCTGACGAAGAATGCAAGTAGAAAAATTGCATTTATTTCAGGTGAGGGCAACAAGTGCTATAAGAGCATTTCCATACATTTGTCATGGCAAAGGGCAAGGGGTGGCAAGGAAAAATCAAGTTCTGTTTTCACCCATTGCCATGGCAAAGGGCAATTATTATTCACTTAATTTTTATTTTTATTTTTCTTAAACGATTAATCTGGATAAGATTTTCGGATGTCGCGCGTCAATATTTATTATAAAATTCACATCTCATATTTCGGATAAAATTTTCGAATAAAATTTTTAGATAAATTTTGGTAGGTATTTATAGAAAAAAAAATTCAGAATTTTTGGGTATTTTTTTTTTAAAAAAAATTTACACACAAATTGGCTACGATTGGACACCCCCGGAAGCGCCACATGGCTTCTATTAGTTGGAGGGAAAGTAGGGCTGATGCTAGGCTGGCGTCAATGCACGCGATTTTGAATGTTTTTTTACCTTCGCGTGTGCATCACACGACAATGGTGTAAAAAAAAAAAAAATCCGCTGGCGCTAGATTCGCGTCAATAGCACGGGCTCAATTTGCCTTTGGGCTTGCCTGGGTTGGTGGCCTCCACATGTTGCTCAGGCTGCTGTTGCACACTGGAACCTCAAAACGAGCCTCATGCCCTCTTTGCCGGGCTGGCCCGCAATGCTAAAAGAACAACTTCTCATATGAAGAATAATCCAGTAAGTAAATGCCATAATGATCAAATTAATGACATAGCCACCAAAAACCTATGGCACTAACATAACAAATTTTCCTTTGTTGTTGATGAAGAGGGCAATGCCCAAGGAAACTCCTAGGAATTCACACCCTCATTTCAAATTTGGAAATCGAAAGCACCTTCTAACGTAAAAATTATAGCATGGAGGTGGGCTCTTAGGAAGGTTAATACTTACGATAAAGTTCAAAATTGTGGTGGAAAGTGTGGATCATATCTTTACATGTGGAAGAACTGCAATCTCATGGCGCTCAACGAAACAAACGCTAGTAGCCACATCTTCCAATCACTCAAAAATACTTGCCCTTCATGAAGCCAATCGTGAATGCATTTGGTTAAGGTCGGTGATCCATCACATCTGAAGTACATGTGCCCTACCCTCAGCAACGGACACTCCAACCATCCTGAATGAGGACAATGCAGCTTATCCTTTCAAATCACAAGAGGATACATCAAGGGTGACAAGAAGCAAATATCACCAAAGTTTTTCTACACACATGAGCTTCAGAAAAGTCAAGAAAATAAAGTCAAACAAATTCATTCAAGCGATAACCTGGCAGATCTCTTCACCAAATCTTTGCCAAATGTACATTCTAAAAGCTAGTGCATGGTATTGGATTACGTCAACTCTGCAAGCAATCAAATTGAAGCATGCAAAAGCAGGGTGAGCATTCAAGAGTCCTCTAACACAGGACATATGTAACCTGTACTTTTTTTCCTTCGGGTTTTTCCTAGTAAGGTTTTAACGAGGAAACATGAGTGCATTTAACATTATTCTTATGTCTCAAATAAAGTTGTACTATTTTTCCTTCGCTAAGGTTTTTTCCTACTGGGTTTTTTCAAGTAAGGTTTTAATGAGGCAACCAATTAAGTGGTCTCCAAGGGGGAATGTGGTAAAAGCTTTGTGTGGAGCCCACATGGTGGAAACATTCACATGCATGGTTACTATTGAAGTGAATAGTGCCATTCAATTTGCCTATAAATAGGCATCACTCTTGCTTTGCTAAAGATACCAACGAAGAAGAAAAAGAAGAAAGAAAGAGTGAGAAGAAAGAAAAGAGAGTGAGAAATCTGAGAGTTAGTGAGTTCTGTCTGAGAGGAAATTCGGAAATTCTGTCAGTGTAAACACCACAAGAGCAAATACCATTTTACTCTCAATATTCAGTGATACTTTTCATACTATGATTATTTTATAACAAGCTTTTATTTTTATTTTTTTGTTTCAAGGGAGTTTCTGTTCAATTTGTTTTTTATTTTCTATATTAATAAAAAATTATTTGAGATTTTCTATTTAAACCCCACACTTCTCTTAGTTCACCCCATGTTCTAAGTTCACCCCAACTTTTAATTTAAAATTTCACAATTTCTAAGAAAACCCCACTATCTTCCCAAACTACCCTTAAATACACCCAAATTTGAAAAAAAAAATAAGAAAAAAAAGAAATTTTCTATTTAAAGCCCACAAGTTACCCTTAGAGGAGGAATGTATACAGCTTTGGGGAGATCATGCTAGAAATTTTAAGCAATGGCAGGTTGATGAATTCATGAGCAAGCATACAGAGTAAGTCAAGGGAAGTTGTTATGAGAGAAATTTACAATGAGAATGAAGTTGGTACGAACGTTCCGATGTGAGAGGAGATAAAACTGGTACTTGAGGTGCTACACTTTGCACTAGGAGTAGGCCATCTGATCAGCCATCAATGGAGAATACATTGAAGCTTTTATCAGAGTGGAAAAGAAACAAGAAAAATTACCCAACTATTGAAGTTGTAGCAATAGGATTATGATTTTAGATGCACACTGGAATGCCAGAAGTGATAATAATATTACTGTTCCTAGCAAAAAAAAAAAAAAAAACACAAACAAACCCAAATCCGAAATTTAATATTTTCTAAAGAAAGAGAACAACTTTACCAAAACATTAGGTATTTTAAAAAAAACAAAAGCAATCAACAAAGGGAAGAGAATAAGATCATTACAGCCAAACAATTAACAAGTCTTTCCATTAGCTTCCACTTAGATTTTAAAAAGACATGCTCTTCAATGTTCTACGTCTCTGGCAATACGATGTAGAAGAGTTTGTATTTTTCTAAAACTTAATATGAAGAGTGGTGGGGTGTATGGGGTGTGTGTATAGATATACTTAAGTATTAAGTTGAATGACCGTTTTTGTCTTTTTACACAATAATAAAACTTACAGCTTAATGATTTAAGTATTAGGGTGAACAAAAAGAAGTGTGGGGTTTAAATAGAAAATCTCAAATTATTTACCTTTAAATAATTAAAAAATTAAAAATCAATAAAATAAAATAAATTGAAAAACAGAAAAAACCTACCCAACAACAACATCCCCAAGCCGCATCAACCGTCCCGCCCAGTTCCCACGACGCCCCTGGCCTCTGAACCAAACCCACCCGCCTTCTCTGCTGCCCCTCTCTCTCTCTCTCTCTCTCTCTCACCA